GGGGGAGGGGCACTTAACAAAGGGAGGATCTGATCACTGGAGCCTCGGGCTCGAGAGAGGGATCCTTGTAGGGTTTAGGGTTTGGGGTCTGCTGAGTCTGCTGTTTCTGCGACTTTGGAAGGTTTCAGGGATTTGTTTGCAATCAGGCCGGGTTCAGGGAACGATGCAAGTTTTGGGTTTGGGGGGTGAGGCATTTCTGTATTTCGAGTTCTTCAGTACTTCGGACTTCAAGTGCAAAACTCAAGCCCAGGCCACAAAACTGGTGAAAAGGCCGACAGGCACGGATGCATAGACCCATGCCAAGCGCCTTCGAGCTTTTCGCTTCATGCGGAACAGAAGATGGAGAGACTACAGCCCCCAGAGCCACCACCTCACTTCTTAAGAGACCAACACCACCATGTAATCATCCTGCAAAATCTGCCGTCCTGACTTACTGCACATGCGACTGGCCCTAAGCCTGTCAGAGATGGCTGTAGCATTACAGGGCCGCCACGTACAAGAAAAGGCTGCTGGAAGGCCAGCCACACCAGGGCTTCCCAAGGGCTTCAAGGCTCAGTACTTCTGAGCCTCATCACATCATCTGGCACCGGAGGAGGCGCTACCTGAAGGGTTTCTTCTAGTTCAGTGGGTCAGGAAAGGCGGAGTTCATAGTTTGCACATCGCTGATAAGTGGGGGCAGAACCGCGCTACTGGATGTAGTCACGAGCGGCCTGTCTTGTGGATGTGGCCGAAGCCCCTGAGCCTTCGGGAGATCCTTCAACCTCGAAGTCCGCAACCGACACCGCTTCGTGAGGCCATGGAGCTTCCCAGGAAGCGGTTCAACTCCCAACGCCTTCAGACCTGGACCTAAACATAAACCTTCGGCCGACCGAACTTCCCTAAACCCCCGAGAATCTGCAAAAAGGCTGCCCCAACGCCGGCGCCTCCTCCCGTCTCCTGGGCCTGTGCTGATCACGGTCAAGCCAGGTTCACTCCAAAGCTTTAAAAGTCATCAAACTCTTTGGGAAATGAGAAAACTTCGCGATGCGCTTCTGGAGCATGGACCGCAGAACCAAATCAGCCCCCTTGCGACACTTGATTGGGACTCCACACCCGCACACACACACACACACAAACTCTTCTGTTGGGATGTAGCATGATCACCACCCAGTGATTGGGCTCAGAAGTCTCTGCCACCCAGATTGTGAGCATCTACCATATCAGCCTTGAGTCACAAGACACGTGCACCTTCGCTCAACAACTCTGCGTCTGCATCTGGAATGAAAGGTTGAACCCCACGAGCCCCTTCAAAACTTAGCGCCTCTTTATTTGGGGGTCCGGTCCGTACCTTGGCGGCCGCAGAGGGGAGCGATCCTTCGCCTGAGCTCCGGAAAAGCTGATCAGGGCGCACAGCCAAAGGCTAGCAGCGTGGTACCCCCAAGTTGCACTCCCGTCCAACCCGGCTGCGACGAAGCGTGTGAAAGAAAATGCCTTTGTCCCAGAAAGTGACCAAAACAAGGAAGCAGTGGCTAGACGTGTTGACTTCGAGAACTGAAACTTAAACTGGGTTCTGGTTAAGGGATATATGATTTAAGTTACCAGAAAATAAGGAAACCCTACTATTTACTATAGATCCCGATTATGGTTAACTTAAATTATAAATCCCCAAAACAAGAGAACCCACTTAAATAATCAACGAACCCACGTGTGTCTCTCGCTGCGGGCCCCTCAACACCCACCTGCACTCGGAGTTTTGCAAAGCTCCCCAAAAAAGTCCTAGGCAAAACCTTGGGGTTAGGATTTAGGGTGACTCTACATTCAGAAGCCCACCGGCCCACCCCAACCTAGAATCTGCACTTCTAGCACCCCGTTCCACGGCTGTTGCTGCTGCTGTTGTTGACGATGATGATGATGATGATGATCATCATGCTGATGCTGGCTTCCACATTAAGTTTCACGTTGAGGTTGAAGATGTTCATGCTCATGCTGTTCATTTTGATGTTCATGATAATCATGCTCATGCTCACGTTCGTGTCGAGGCCGATGCTGGTGTTGACGACTGAGAGTGTGATAGAGACTCTGGCTACGATTCAGAAGACCTACGGGCACCAGGTACATGAAGTTCAGCATGATCATTAGATCATTCTGTCGTTGCCCACCTCCGGCATTGGGGCGCGCTTGCGCTCGAAGTACTCCTTTCCGGTGGAAGCAAAGTGCTTGCAAAGTCTTGGGATTCTTGGGATGCTGAGGAACTCATGATGTCGGATGTGTTGCCTGAGCGTTGAGCCCCTCGACATCTTTCCCGAAAGCCCAGAATCCAGCGCGCCCGCCAAATGGCCTCCAAGTCGAAGCTGAACGTGTCGCCTTCAAACACCTGTTTTTCCACACGGCAAAGGTCGGGAGATCTTTGAGAAGGGGCTGAAAACGGTTCGCCTAAACCAAGCCGTATGTGACGAGAATGCGTGTTCTCGGGCTAAAGCGACCTTCAAACCTTTCCGGCATGTCACTCGAGCCATCTCAAGCCGGAGGTGGCGATCCCCACCACATGCGTTCTCGCTCCGCACCAAACACGATTCCACAGGAAGGCCCTCTCACCTGGGCTTGGAACACTCCGTCCAACAACTCCTCAAGGGACCGGGCCTGCCCCTTTTTCCTTTCGTGGACGGTGGTCTCTACTGTAGGATTACGAGCCACTTTCATCTCTTCGAGATGACTGCACGTCGTCGCCTTCAAGAAGCTCGGATTCGTAATTGCGCAGTTCCAGAAGACTCGAAGTTGTTAGCGCAGTCAGAAGCGCCCACAAGTTGCCTTGACACCGCCAGCTCCTCTGCTTCTTCCCGGCTTGTGCAGCCGCAAAGTTGGCCCACGCAGGAGACGAGCCAGTAACACCTCTAACCTACTCTGCAGAACAAGGTGATGCGGCTTGTGTGCAGCACTGCGTCCTTGCTGCTAGGGTCTAAAGCTTCGGGGACTTGCATAATGTGGCGAGACTGACGAACAGACCTGAAAAGAATGAAACATGTATGTGCACCCTTCTGTGCTGGAGACTTTCGATGCCTGCGTAACATGGGAACAGAGCCGTGGAACTGATATGCAAAATCTGTACGATGCTTGTAGCACCCCGTTGTGATCAGCGTCTGACATCGTGGAAGTAACACAGTCCTTGGAACAACCCGTGGCGGGGCCTTGAAGGCTGACTCCCCATTGTTCAGGATGCTCATGATCTGCGACCGAGAGTTCAGGTGTGCACAGTAGGGGCGGCTTCGGAGCATTCGCACAACTTGAGACAAAAAAGAGAGCTCTTGCAGGCTCCTGGTCCTTGTCTTTGCTTGTCGCTTGGCCTTGAGGTGACTTGTACCCTTGTTGCCTCCTCCGCACCGAGCTGCTCTTCCGGGTCCTCCTTCTCATCGTCCTCCTGAACCTCTGAGCAACAGAAGCGTGTAGGCCGCCCTCCCCCCCGAGGAGCCGCAGCAGGCCAACCATTGCTGAACATCGGACTTTCCCGACCAGACCCGATTCCAAGAAGAGCCAAGCTGATCAATTCTCGGTCCCCCTCCTTGCCCGCCACACACTCTGACACCGACACTCCAAATCCGTCCAAACCTTGCCATGCCCGCGACAAGCTAAGCAAGGCACCCTGTCGCCGATGATGTTCTTTTCCTGGTCAAAGGAAACAGCTCAGATCGGTCCCAGACGAAGGCTGAGCTGGGCATTGTGAGGCACGTGGGCTTTTGAAAAAAAATACTGATATTTGCAATTGGCAAAGCGAAACCGAAGCAGTAGCTCGACCTGCTGCAGTCGTGAAAGTGACGTGACGAAGCAAAGACTACAAGCGTAAGCAGGACAGGAAGAACCATCACCAAGACCATCACCATCATCACCATCATCATCATCACCATCATCGTTATCATCATC